CCCAGGAGGCGGAGGTTGCGGTGAGCCGAGATCGCGCCATTGCACTCCAGCCTGGGTAACAAGAGCGAAACTCCATCTTAAAAAAAAAAAGAAGAAGAAAAGAAAAGAAAGACGGAAAGAGAAATAGAACCTCAAAATGGGAAGAGAATTGGCAGTTCACATACCCTCCCAGTGCTGAGATAAGTGAACACTGAAAATCCCAAGAGCAGTGGTCTTGCCTCTGTCTTGTTTGGGGACACTCCTCAGCCTACACTGTGAGCTGGTTCTCAACTGCAAGAGTTTCCTTGGCTGGGCGTGGTGGCTTACGCCTGTAATCCCAGCACTTTGGGAGGCCAAGGTGGGCAGAACACCTGAGGTCGAGAGTTCGAGACCAGCCTGACCAACATGGAGAACCCTCATCTCTGTGTTTAAAAAAAAATAAGAAAAAAAAAAGTGTCCCAAAGAGAGGAAGCATAGAGGTGGTTATGAGCACAGGCTTGGGGGTCGGGCAAACCTGGGTCTGAATCCCAGCTCTCTGTAACTGTGCAAGTTACCTAATCTCTCTGAACCTCAGTTTCCTCCTCTGCAAAGCAGAATCCAGAACACCTAACCTCATGGGGCAATTTTAAGTATTCACAGAAACAATGCCTACAGCCTAGAGCACTGTGGGTGGTTGGCTTGGGCTGCTGTTGCTATGAAAAGTTGAACCTGTTCTTTTTGGTTTCCTACTATTGGTCCACTCTTGCCTCCCAAGCCTTCCAAACTAGACAGTCTCTAAGAAATGAGGAGGCAGAGACCTTTTCCTGATGTCCTGCTAACCTGCCCCAGACCAAACAGTGCTGGGTCCTGGCTTTTAAGCTTGATACACAAGACCTTCTGAGACTTACCCACCTCTACCCTCATCAGCAGCCTCTGCCTACTTCATTTTTAATTTTTTTTTAAATTTTAATTTTTGTGAGTGCATAGTAGGTGTATATGCCTAGCTCATTTTTAACTGTTTCTTCAAGGTGCGGCTCAAAGCACCCTCTAGGAAGCCTTCCATGATCTTCCCCAGGTTACTCCTCAAAGCCCTGTGGGTTTTCTCTCTTGCGGCAGTTAACCACAGTGGTCTAGGATCTGTTTACAGGGAGATCTCCCCTCTAGCCCATCAGACACCTGAAAACAGTTTTGAATCTGATTCATCTAAGTAAAGCTAGGAGGCTACAGTGGCTCATGCCTATAATCCTGGCACTTTGGGAGGCTGAGGTGGGAGGATCATTTGAGCCCAAGAGGTTGAGACCAGCCTGGGAAACATTGTGAGACCTGTCTCTAAAAAATGTTTTTAAATGAGCTGGGTGTGGTGGTGTGTGCCTGTAGTCCCAGGTACTCGGGAGGCTGAGGTGGGAGGATCACGTGAGCCCAGGAGTTTGAGGCCACAGTGAGCCATGATACAGCCACTGCCCTCCGGCTTGGGTGACGGAGTGAGACCCTGTCTCAAAAACAAAACAAAACAAAAAACAGCTGGGGAGGACTTGAAACCAAGCAAGCTTATTTTTCTTTCTTTCTTCTTCTCATTCTTCCCTCCTTCTTGCCTCCCTCCACCCCCTCTTCCTTTTTCTCTTTCTCTCGTCCCTTTTAAAATGAAAGACATCTGTTCCCCCACCCCACCCCTGCTATTCTGTGAGATTTCCCAGATGATCCAAGGTCTGGAAAACTACTCATGGCCTGACTGGAACTGGAGTTATGTTCTCCTTTTGGGTTTCCCATGTGAGATGTCAATATGAAGAAAGAAAGAATAGGACTCTGAGAGAGAGAGAGAGAGAGTGTGCGTGTGTGTGTGTGTGTGTCCATGTGTCCAGGACCTGACCTGCGGAGGGTGAGATACCAGCTCCTGGGCCTCAGGCATCATGGCCAGGCAGTTCATTCCCACACTGCTATATGTGGCTTTCCTAGACTCTCTGGGCTGCTTACCACTTAAAGATGTCCCAGGACTTGGAAAGCCAGGTCCTGGGAGTGCAGGAGCTCAGGCCATGTCTCCTTGACAGCTCTACTCCAGGAAGCCCAGCTGGCTGCATTTCAATCCTGCACCTCACCCGCACCTGTGGTCCTCACACCTCTGCTTGTTACCAGCCCTGTGGTCTGCGAATTTCCCACAGAGCCAGGGATAAAAGTGCGTGATGTAAAGCCTCTGCCAGAGGAAGAGGGCGGTCCCCAGGCCCACCCAGTCTCTACCTCCTGAATCACCTTATCTTCCTTCTCAGCTGCTGACCAGTCCCCTGGTTTATGGTGCAGGAGAGGGAACCACTCAGCCCATAAATCACCTGCCCCACCTTTCCTTATCCTCCAGCTCTGCCTCTCCCTCCCTATTGGCGCTGCCCACCCATGCCCCTGTCCCCTCCTCACAGCTGAGAGCTGGTTGTATGGCTTGGTGGTGAAATGGATTCTGGAGCCACACTGCCCAGGTTCCTAAGTCCAGGCTTTGCCATGGTCATCAAGCTTTGTGACCTTAGGTAAGCCATTGAACCTTTTAAATTCCCATGTGAGGCAGGGCACGGTGGCTTATGCCTGTAATCCCAATACTTCCGGAGGCCAAGGCAGGCGGATCACTTGAGGTCAGGAATTTGAGACCAGCTTGACCAACATGGCAAAATCCTGTCACTACAAAAAATACAAAAGTTAGCCAGGCTTGGTGGCAGGCACCAGTAAACCCAGCTACTCAGACAGCTGAGGTGGGAGAATCACTTGAACCTGGGAGATGGAGGTTGCAG